AAAGTCGAGTCTCGAAAGATAAGTTACAAGATAGTGTAACACACTCTATAGGCGAGAAACTCTACGAGGTAAGGGGAACGACATCCTCTCAAAATTTAAAAAAAAAAATCGACAAAAAATTATTAGTCTCGTCAAAGCAGATAACTTTATTAAATTCATCAATTCTCGAAACATATAACTATGTATAATACGTGTTTTCAGAAAATTTATATAATTTATACATAGTTCAAAAGTAACTAAATAAATTATAATAGTTTCATAAAAACCAAATGATGAAATACCAAAATAGATTTAGTATCTTTTAAAATTTTATTCGTTCAAAATATTCAAAAATTCCGATAATAAACATGCATTTTAATGAAAAACATAGTACACAATGTTTGTATTCAACCCAAAATATTTTAGAATTCAATATGAACTTATAGTACTTGTAAAATTCACAATTATTTTCATCCAATCCAATGAACCCTAATATATTTTGTATAGGTTAGAAATTAATTGGCTAGAGGAATTGTATACATATATGTCAAAGGTGGATATTTACATGGAGTATGAAAGTAATTGGGATTAGAAATGATGAATCTCGTAGAATATGGCAAGTAGATAGAAGATACTTTTTTAAGTTTAACTAGCGGTGTAAGTATAGGTCAATATTGACTCATCATCGAGACATGTGCATTTCGAGAAGTTATTATACACGTTAGATACATGCACGATCCGGGATGGATGGTATATAACTTATATAAGTTCATGCACACAATCTGTTGTATATACAGATTATATGTACCTTTAAAGACATGCAGAATCTGGTAAAAGTTGGTCAAGCATGGCCCATGACTGAACAAGATAAGTGTAAAGGGAATCACAAATCATCAATATATATATATATATATATATACCTTAAATATAAGCATGATCCATGACGGAACAAGATAAGTCTAAAGTGAATCACAAACCATCAATATATATATATATATATATATACCTTAAATATAATATGTCAATTCATACTTGGGTTAGTAAGTGAATATGTTATACAAATCAAAATTTATTCATCATACTTTAAAAAGATTATATTATGATTATATATATATATGAATCGCTTCCATTTAATTAATTACTAAACTTCAAATTAACTACGTAGTCAAGATTTGAAATCTTACATACTAGATTAGTCTGTCAAGATCATGCACCAATTCGAATTCGATCACCGTACTTCGAAAAGTTTATATTATGGTCATATATATTCGAATAGCTTCCAACTAAAAATATAAGAATTAATTACTGAATACAATGTGAATGTGAACCCTATAATCAAGATTCGAAATCTTAAAATTGGATCTTGTACTTCCTTGTAAGTATACATTTGTGTGTGTGTATATATATTCATGCATCTGTTATGTGCTGTATATCATCGCCGGTAAGCAAATCCTTAGGAGCGTTAATTAACAGTCAGAAAAGGATGGCTGGTTTGAAAGCGATGATAATCGTTGTCTTCTTGCTGTGCTCGGTCATGGCTGCAACAACTGCAAGACCAATATTCCATGATGATCAGCAAATTTTGCCGCCTCCTTCGAATCCGCCCACTCGAGGCTGCAACCCGATCACCAGGTGCCGTCCGGGTACTCCGCCACCCAAAATAGCCGACCATGTTGATCAGCAAATTTTGCCGCCTCCGTCGAATCCACCCACTCGAGGCTGCAACCCGATCACCAGGTGCCGTCCGGGTACTCCGCCGCACAAAATGGCCAACGATGTCTCGCATGTCAACCACCATTCTTAACTGTAATCGATAGTTCTTACCATCAATAAACATTGCAATCTCAAAAGATTATCTCTACTTGTTCTTCGGTGATCATTATGAATGAAAATATACTTATGAAATGATGAGTGATTAATGATCGAGATATCTGAATCAATAATTTCAAGCTCAGCTATATATATATATATATAACGCTCTGTTGGAAGATAAATGAAATCTGGAATCGGATATATAGTATATATTAATAAATTATAAGTTTATTTCCCTCGGTCGATCTCAATTTTTTATTCTAGTTTAAAAAAAAAAATCACATTTTTTTAAAATTTAAAATAAATTATATATAAAATTAAAGAAATTAATAAACTAAATCTTTATCATGTAAGGATTTCAAAATAAATTAATCGAATAGCTGATATTAGATCTGAAAACATAACCGTATTTGAATTCGTAACGGAAAAAATCTGCACGTTATACGGTAAATTTTTATTACGAAAGAATTTTAAAATAAACTAAATCTAAATATAAAATACGTTCGTATTGAATCGTTGATATTAGATCTGAATTCGTAACGGAAGAAATCTGCACATCATGCGATAAATCTTTCAAATCAACACGTAATTCTTTAAAATTTTAACACTTTCTCTATTTTTACTGACGGGATAACAAAATAAAAAAATTCTACAGATGATTTTGGGACCGTAACCGTCTTTTTATATTATTAAATTTTTATTTTAGTTTTAAAAAAATCACATTTTTCTAAAATTTAAAATAAATTATATATAAAATTAAAGAAATTAATAAACTAAATCTTTACCATGTAAGGATTTCAAAATAAATTAATCGAATAGCTGATATTAGATCTGAAAATATAACCGTATTTGAATTCGTAGCAGAAGAAATCTGTATGTTATACGGTAAATCTTTATTACGTAAGAATTTCAAAATAAACTAAATCTAAATATAAAATACGTTTGTATCGAATCGTTGATATTAGATCTGAATTCATAGCGAAAGAAATCTGCACGTCATGCGATAAATCTTTCAAATTAACACGTAATTTTTTAAAATTCTCACACTTTCTCTATTTTTACTGACGGGATAACAAAATAAAAAAATTCTACAGATGATTTGGGAACCGTAACTGTCTTTTTATATCATTAAGTTTTTATTATTTATAATTTAACTCATCACAAAATTAAAAATAACGTTTTTAGTTTTTATACATAAAAAAAAAAATTTATCTTTTATTCGATGTATTAAAACTCAATATTCGTTTAATCTTAACAGATCATTTTTAATCGGACCCAATAAAATTAATAACTTTTTATGCACAATAAACTCACACGTAAGCCGCCGAAATAACTCAACGTATTACTCTCTCGATCAATCGTAAT